TGGGGGGCAGGTGTGCCCAGGTGTCCCCAGGCATGCCCAGGTGAGGGAAAGGTGTGCCCAGGTGTCCCCAGCTGTGCCCAGGTGAGGGGCAGGTGTGCCCAGGTGTCCCCAGGTATCCCCAGGTGTGCCCAGGTGATGGACAGGTGAGGGACAGGTATCCCCAGGTATCCCCAGGTGTGCCCAGGTGTGCCCAGGTGAGGGGTAGGCAGGCCCAGGTGTTCCCAGATGTGCCCAGGCATGCCCAGGTGAGGGGAAGGTGTGTCCCAGGTGTGCCCAGGTGTCCCCAGGTGCCCCCCGTGGCACTCACAGGCCGTTGGCGAAGTCGTGCATGACGCTGGGCAGGCTGGTGAAGGTGAGCACCGGGATCAGCGCGAACGGGAGCTGCAGCAGGCAGGAAACCAGAGAGGAACGAAGAGCTGGAATCGCTCTGATCACCACGGAACCCCGGGATGGGTGAACACTGGGAACCCCGGGATGGGTGAACACTCGGAACCCCGGGATGGGTGAATGCTCAGAACCCCGGGATGGGTGAACACTGGGAACCCCGGGATGGGTGAACGCTGGGAACCCCGGGATGGGTGAACACTCGGAACCCAGGATGGGTTAATGCTCAGAACCCGGGATGGGTGAACGCTCATCCCACCCCACCCTTCCACCACGGGGACACCTTCCACTGGCCCTGGGCACCTGGGCTGGGAGGGGCCGGGCCCAGCCGCACCTGGAGGCTCATGAGCACGTTCAGGAAGTCGTTCATCCCCGTCAGATGCTCCACGTCCTGGAAGATCGCCACGAACAGCGTGGGGGTGACGGCGATGGAGCGCGTCAGCAGCACCCGCGCAAAGCGCGACCAGCGCAGGTTCAGGAAACCCTGGGGGGCACGGGGAGACCGGGAGTAAGGAGTGAGTAAGGAGTGAGTAAGGAGTGAGTAAGGAGCGAGTAGTTCAGGACCAGCGCAGGTTCAGGAAACCCTGGGGGGGCACGGGGAGACTGTGAGTAAGGAGTGAGTGAGGAGTGAGTAAGGTATGAGTAGTCCAGGAGCAGCACAGGCTCAGGAAGCCCTGGGTGAGGACGAGGAGGGAGTAAGGAGTGAGGAACACGGAGCACAGGACCAGGAACCTCTGCGGGGGGACGGGGCAGTGGGGCTGAGAGGGCGAGGAGGGAGCGAGGAGTAAGGAAGGAGTAGAGAGGAGTAAAGAGGACGGGATACAGAGCCAGGAGAACACAGGGAGGAGTAGAGGGGAGTGCAGAGTAAAGGGTGAGGAGTGCAGGGTACGGAGCAGATGAGTCAGGTGTACGGAGCAGTGGAGTGAGGAGTATGGAGTAAGGACTACGGGAACACGGAGTAGAGAATACAGAGCAAGGAGGATGTAGTGAGGAGCAGGAGAACCACGAGTACCCAGCGAAGAGTGAGGAGCACCGAGTGCGAAGTACGGAGCAAGGAGTAGCGAGTGAGGAGTGAGAGGAGCAAAGCAACAAGAAGTAAGGAATTAGGAGTAAGGAGTGAGTACAGGGAGCGAGGAGCAGGGAGCGAGGAGCAGCGTTACCTCCATGACGAACTGGCCCGAGTAGGTGCCGGTCATGGTGGAGCTCTGCCCGGCCGCCAGGATCCCGATGGCCCAGATGTAGAGCGCGGCAGGGCCGAAGTAGCAGCCCAGGACAACGCCCTGCAACGGGGAGAGAGCGGCTCCGTCACCCCGAGGGCAGCGAGGAGCAGCAGCAACTCCCAGGAGTAAAAGGGCTCAAGGACCCTTCTTTTCTCAGCCCTGTTTTGGGGATCTCTCTACGGCTCCCAGCCCCAGCGCTCCCAGTTCATCCAGAAGCAGCAGCTGCCACCAGACAGGGTCACTGGGCTGTCCCACGTGTGGCTGTCACCCCCTGGGGACACCAGACAGGGTCACTGGGCTGTCCCACGTGTGGCTGTCACCTCCTGGGGACACCAGACAGGGTCACTGGGCTGTCCCACATGTGGCTGTCACCTCCCAGGGACACCAGACAGGGTCACTGGGCTGTCCCACGTGTGGCTGTCACCCCCTGGGGACACCAGACAGGGTCACTGGGCTGTCCCAGATGTGGCTGTCACCCCCCAGGGACACCAGACAGGGTCACTGGGCTGTCCCACGTGTGGCTGTCACCCCCCGGGGACACCAGACAGGGTCACTGGGCTGTCCCAGACATGGGGGTCACCCCCCAGGGACACCAGACAGGGTGACTGGGCTGTCCCCAAGCTCCCCTCCCCAGGGACACTCACCCCCTTGTAGATGTCCACCTCCAGGGTCTCGTTGTTGTTGGGGAAGAGCGAGGAGTGGGGGCTGCTGGAGTTGGCACAGACCTGGTGCTGCAAGGGCACGGAAGGGCGGGGATGAGGGAACGGGCTGGGATGGAAAATCCTCTGGGATCGCTGGGTCCAGCAGCGATCTCAGCATTG